AAATTTTTGATAGATATAGTCTGTGTGCGTATTTACAAAGGCTTTCAAACTTTTGGGTGTTGGGGTAGAATCCTAATTTATAAGAGAGACAGAAGATGTCTCAGTTGGATGGTTAAACCTGGGATAGAGAAGTCTCCTCCCATCTCAGCCCAAACACACACCTACACTTCCCTGGCTCTCCTGGTAGACACGTGTGTATCATCTCCAAGGAATCCTTGAGGAAGCAGTTAGAAAACTGATTCTCTAAGGGATTCCACGGTGTCAACCTCTCACAATGTTCTTCATCAGTCCTCTGTTTCTAGGCACTTCGTTTGTTTTAATCTGTCATTGCCATAAATAGCCTTGTAATAAGCATCTTTGTAAAACATAGCATTTTCTTTCCTTTTGGATTATTTCCTTCTTATGTAGTCCCCCAAATGGAATTACCATGCAACAAAAAAGACTGCTTTATAATTCTTTTATCATATTGTTAATCTTCAGAAATACTGCACAAGAGCAATGTATAATGTCCTATTTTCCCATAAACTTGCCAACATTGGGTTTAACTTTTAGATGTGCCTTAACAGTTTAAGAGATGTATAATAATTTAAATTAATAATAAGAAACTAATTTTATTGAGTGCTTGCTATGATCCAGGCACTAAAGTACTTTAAATGTATCACCACCTTTAATCTTCTCAAGCTGTTGGGCTGGTTAGCTCTGTTTTACAGATGCAGCCAACCAGGGGCTGTCCCCTGCCTTGCTCTGCAGACGGTATTTCTGCCAGTTCTGGGCAAGGCTACACTCTGATGTCGAACAGCCACTTCTCAGGATGGCTCTCAGAGTGATTCTCATTAACTTTATCAGGGCCTCCAATGTTGGCCACAGGCCCCTCAACCTGTCTTGGTGGATGGTTTTCCTTTGGCCCACACTGAAAAAGGCGACATTTATTTCTATTTGGTTTCACTTTATAGAATTAACACATCATTTATGCCCTGATTCTACAAAGTACATCTGTTATCCTTTGAACTTCATGCCACCCACACATCTGATAAACCCGTCTGCTGACTTTTTCTCATTGATAGAAATGTTTACTCTCTCTCTTTCTCTCCATTCACTCATGTATTTTTTCATTTGTTCCATTACAATTTTCTGGAAATGGATTTCTTGGGCCTTAAGTTAAATGAATAGTTTAGTATTTAAAATGTGGTTGTTGCTGCTACTATAAATACAACTTCCCTTTTTCATGGTATTTTTTTGCTATGTGCCAATGTTATATGAATATGATGCTGATTTTTATAGATTAATCTTATATCATGTGAACCTGCTGAAATTACTATATATAACTATTTCTGATCAATTTTTCAGAGTTTTCTAGGAATATAACTGGATATAATAACAGTATTTCTTTGCCATAATTTATATTTATAACTTTTCTTCACTACAAATAATTGTGACCAGACTTTTAGTACAATGAGTGGGAAATCTTTACTTCTATTTTTAAAGAAAACGACTTTAGGATTTCTCCATATACTAAGATATTTAGCATAATTTTTAAAAAACCCTCTACTCCTGATTTGTTTAGGATTTTAACAAAGATACCCCAAATTTTCTTTAATGCCACCTGACATTTATTGAGATGGGTATATAATTCTTCATCTTTTTACCCCTTACTATAATAAACTATGATGATATTGTTTTTAAGGGATACACCTTATGTTGCATTATTCTTTCATGCAAATATTATTCAATGATTTAAATTTTTCTTCACAGCAAAACATAAACAAGGGCAATAAAACAAACAAAAAACCTACAAGCATATACTCTCTTACATAGTGTAGAAAGTACAAAACAGGGGAAAATGTGAAAAAGAAAATTGGGCAAAGAGCCCAGGAATGAAATTCTAATCCCAGTCCTGCTACTAAGTAACTGCATGTCCTTGAGAAATTTCCTTAATCTCTCCGGGCCTCAGAGAGGCCCCTTGTTTTTGCTTGGTGAGATGATAAGTTTAAACCTGACGATCTTTCCAGCTCTATACTGTTAATCGCTTTCGTTCCTTTTACTTCTG